CCCCCCTGCCTTCGAGAGCCCTGGCCCACGGGATTCCTCCCAGTAGCTCCTTGAAGAGGGCAAAGTCAGCCCTGCTGAGGTCCAGCGTTTTGATCCTGCTTATTGCCCTGCTTCCTCCACGCAGGATCCTGAACTCGACCATTTCATGGTCACTGCAGCCGAGTCTACCTCCAACCTTCACATCCTCCACCAGTCCCTCCTTGTTTGTTAACACAAGGTCCAGCAGCGCGCCTTTCCTTGTTGGTTCCTCCACCACTTGCATCAGAAAGTTATCGTCGATGCTCTGTAGGAACCTCCTGGATTGCGCCTGCCTTTTAATTCAGGTCCCTGAATTAAAAGTTGAAGTGAATTAGTACTGCTCCCAGCCGCTTAGTAATACTCTTTACCAATATATATGGGCATCATTTAAATGCTTCAGATGGAAAGTTCAAAATCTTGTGGGCTAGGAACTTATTTAAAGAATTCTGACTCAATGGTCAGAACTTGGAGAAAATACCTCAGTTTGCAGAATCAACCAGGCTGTCCCTGTATCCCAGGAAACAGGAAAATCAAAGGGGCCGGGGGATGAAGTGAAAGTTTACATCAATACATTAGAAAGTAATCAGTCGTCATGGCTCTAACGTTTTTGTTAGGATGCATGTAGCTTTAGTATGTACCTTGCTTGGAGAGAAACTTATTTCATTTCACTCTTTCATTGGCTTTTAGACCTTTGCAGATATATTGATTAAAAAACGTAATGACCTTTGGATATTTGGCAAAGTAAATCCGTTCACTTTTGGGAATCGTGTGGAAGCCTACAGTCAGTCTGACTGTTGGTACTTGATATGATGTTAACAGTTGTTAACACAGAGTACCAAACATTTTTTTTTTTCTATTGCTGAAACAGATTTTGAGATTTTTAGCTTTGTTTTTACCTTTCAGGAAACTCAGAGTTCAAGCTTTGCTTTCTTCTACTTGTTTTCACTAATACGGTTTAGTTCAAATTGGGAGATGTGGTGAGCAGGAATTTCGGAAGATCTGTAGAGAGGAAATTACTTTCTACTCTCTAACTACTTTTTACAATATAAATTTTTTTTCCTTTGTCTTTTACTTGAAATGGAATAATTTGGTGATCTGAATGTCTCATGAGACACGTAGATATTGCACATGTGATTCTCTTGTTTTCCTACCTGTTCAGGGAGAATATAGTACAATATGGGATTAAAGAGAAGCTTGAGCCTTAACATCAGGGCAGAACTACCATGTAATTTGCACAGCAGAGAAGTATATACTAGATGGTGTCATTCTTTGAAAAAATTACATCTATGTTTTTGCATATTAAAAAAAAAAATGTGGCCTGTGTAGTGATTTTTTTTTTCAGTGTTGAATTCTGGTTTATTTTTTAAATGAAAGTAACTGATTGTGAATCACTTGATGAAAATCAGATATGATGAGTTGTACAGTAAGTAATCTTCTCTTTTGAGACCTGGGTTCAAATGTAACTCTTATCACAAGTGAAAGTGAGTCTTATAATCTGATGTCCATTGTAGCTAAGTCATTTAACTCGGCATTGCTGATGTCGTAAGAATGCCAAGCTAAAAATATGTTAGATGCCATTGTTTGAAGTGAATGTGTCCAGTGCTAGTCATACTGTACCTGACCTCCTGTTCCTTCACTTTAATAAGTATTAAAATTTTCACTCTCTATAAATGAGTCTTTAACTGCAGTGATGTTGTTCCTAGACATAATGGGTTTAGATAGGCTTTTGTGTATTTAGTTATTTAGTAAAAAACTTAAAAAGGTTCCTTTGTTTTATTAGGAGTCCACATCTCCAGTTGTTTCACCACAGCAATCCCCACCAACCTCTCCACATACATGGAGGAAGCACAACCGCCATCCCAGCGGAGGGAATAATGAACGACCTCTTGCTGGACCTGGGCCTTTTTGGGCTCCATTTAGTGAAGCACAACCAGGTATAATGTCTTCTATGCTTCAGCTGTAACTCAAAGTTATGGAATTCTCTAAGTAGTATATTAAATGAGTTTAGGGCAGTTTATCTTTGTATTTTCCAATCCTGGAAACTTTCTTGCAGATTCAAATGTTCATGTTGATGGCAGCACTGTGGAATCTGTGGTCTTGCACATGGCAGATCCATTTCTTAGTGTGATACGGGAAATGCTTAAAAGTTTTCTGATAGAAAACTGACATGCTGTTGAAATTGTGCAGGAACTGTCGGTATACCCCAAAACGTGGGGAGCTCAAAGCAGCAGATAATGTTTGTTTGAATTATGTTTCTGGCAGGTTAGATGAGTTGTTAGAGCAGCTAATTCTCTTAACATTTTTTTGCTTTCTTTAAGTTTGTGTAAATATAACTGAAGCTACTGTATCTTCAGTCTGTCAAGGTGGAACCACTTGTTTCAGTACAGCTTTTCATCCTTTATTGTTCTTCATTTAACATGAACACCCCTCCTGTTGTATTGCTGTGCTCAGATTTTAAAAAGCTTTCCCCCTTAATATCTCATATTTGAATAAATTCTGTTTTCTGATATCTGATAGACTTAGTAAATTCTGGAACAACAGAGCAATTCTGATTCAAGTTCTGTTTTTGATGATACTGCTAAATAATACGTTGCATTTTACAGGCTGTAGTTTCAGATTGAACTATGGTTGGTTGGTTGATTTCAGTTGTGATGTTCCAAAATGGATCTGTAACCTTTCGGTTTATCATCATTCTGTATTTATAAGCATCCATGGAGGACCAGGGATTCTGTTACTAGATTTAGTTGGATAAGGACATAAAACTTGTTTTAGAAGTTAAATGGGTTGTATGCAGAGGTTTATGCCAGTGTCCTGACATTGTTTGCTAGTAAGTGCCAGTCAATTTAGAATAAAAAAGTTTATTAGTCTGCTCATTGTGTATATAATCACTCTAAGGGTTCAGTCCAGGCATTGTGATTTTTTTTTTTCCACAGTCAATTTCCAGGCTTTTTTCTTGCATAGTTTAGTTGATTTGCTTTTCTTGCAAGCTGAAATACAAGTTTGTCTGGTAGCTGATTTCTAACTTGTGAAATTTTTCTAACTTACGAAGTCAAGGACTCCAGGAAAGTATGCAAACTGTTCCTGCTGTTGAAGAGTTCGATACTGTCCTCTTAAAAATAAAGTTGTAATACTGTGTTAATATTTCAGTTTAACAATGCTTTCCCTGTGATGTCTAATGGATAAATCTTTCAGTGGTAGTCTGAAAATGTTTCTGAACTAGCTTGATACTTAATTTTATATTCCATACTGAAACAGATTCGTAGTGTGTTTAAAGTAATTTGGAGATAGTTATAGAAGGATTGAGTGGATTTTCATGTATTAGTGTAATGAAAATTGTCACCCTGATTCACGGTGGGTGATTCTTTCACACTGCAGAAGATTAATTAATCCATTGAATTTCAGCTGTTGTAGCCAGTTCATCATTCTGTTTCCCTCTATTAAGCTTGCTTTTTAAGGACAGTATTTTGTAGAAAATTGAGGTTCTGCTGACATTTGGGTAGAACCAGACAGACTGCCAGTAACTTTTCTTAAAATCAGTGCTGCAAGCTTGTCTTGATTACAATGCAAGATGTTCTTGAGAAATCAGGTAATTTGCAAGTATGCAGTATTGTTTCAGTTAGGATTTAAGGCAGAACTATGCTATTTCACTTGTGATCCAAGAAAAATAAGAACCCAGGTCTCTCTCCTTGTATTTCATATTATGTGAAGCATTGTTTGAGGGTAATGGGGTCGTAAACTGAAAGCATGAAAACGTGTGAAAATGTTTCTGATGAGTCTAATAATAAGCAGTGTGTTGCCTTAAACTACAAGCACAAAAATCAAAACATAATTTTTTTGTCTGGAGAAAGATGGTTTTAAACAGGAAGATTATGACTTATGCATAGTAAAGACACTCTATTGCATCATCATACTCCCACCACGAACAAAATTAAATAGTGCTTTCTGTATCCAGTTAGGCTGTCGAGTGATTATTGGATAATGACTAAATTGTTGTTTTTAAAAATCTTAGACCTTGTCTTGTATCAGAAGTCTTAAGTATAACTTAGCTGTAGTTCTCAGTTTCTTGAGGAAGAAAATCTGTTGTCATTTCACCAGAGCAAAGGAATTTGGATTTCACAATTTTTTTTGCTATTGTGTTGTCCAGTAATTCAGCTAGGATAGTGTTACTGATGTTTCATAAATTACATCTTATGATGCATCATAAGGTGCTTCATAAGATGCTTCATAAGTTGCCTCATAAGTGAGGCACTGTCATGACTAGGTCAGTGTGCTTGCACATATGAAATGAGAAGCCACGGATGGTTACCATCTTTCTTCAAGCCTTTTTGTAAAGAGAGTCCCAAAGGGTGCATGTATTCTACTTTAATATCTGGAATTAAAAGTTCAGTGACAGATGTTGATCACCTCTGTAGAATGAAGTTTATAGTTCAGGTCTCATCCTTAAATGTGGGAGTCAATTCTACTAAAACCTGAATCTCTGAAGTCTTCCAGGTATCTTTGACTTAACAGTTTGAGATAAAACTGTTCAAAAATCATGCCAGGTGTCAGTTCTGGCTTGCATCTCTGTTCTGGATCAGTCTTTGTAGAGTAATGCAGTGGATGACTGAACCCCTGGTAGGAAACAGAATTGTGTATGAGATGAGAGCCTCCTGTTCTGTGGTTACAAGAGAAGAATTGAAAATGCTTCATACTTTTACCTTTTCAGCTCATTTTGCACTACAGCTTCAGGTGCTAGAATGGTGCTGACTGACAAACTCAGGAGAAAGAACCCTTTCCCCACTTCAAATGATAGTTGAGTGCATGTCAGAATAGGGGCTAGAAATTATGTTTTGTTACATTGTAGTCTGTTTGGACTGGAAGCAAAGCAGAGCGTTTATGTTAGTAGCATCGAAATAGTGATTTCAAACTAGTAAAAAAATCTGAGGTCTTCAGTTAGCTTTCTTGGCGTTACATCAAAGTTCTGTTTTGATATCTGAATATGTATGAGAACTTGCAGTCCTAAGCCACACTTCTTTCTTTTGCTTATTGGGAGAGATTTTGCTGCAGTTTATGAAATCAAGAACCAGAAAACTTCGTGGGCAGAAGTGGAACATGTCTGCTGTACAAACAGTTCACTTACACCTTTAGAGTCCTAAGATTCTTCCTGTGCTTACAGGGGACTGAATAGTCCTTTGTCTCCTAGTTACTGCTTCAGTAACTGTTGATAATTTGCCCTGTTACAAGTTAAGGATTATTCTTGCCTGGGGGTGATTGTTAGGGGAGGGAATTGCTCTGTAGCATTTTATCTTCTTGGTGAAATTGTACTCCCCTTCTGGTTCTGTTTCATCACACATTGGTGATAAGGTGAGCTCTTGCTAGTTTACAAAGTTAGTTGAAAATTTCGTTGTCTGTAAGTAAACCCACATTTGTATAGGTATTGAAAAGTACAAGCTTCTTGGAGATTATCTAGGTAGACCATTTCTTAGACTTACATTTGTAGCTTAAAGTGGGGGGTTAAATTTCTCCCACAAGAAATTAGATCATTTTCCAGAAGTTTTCAGTGCATTGGTAAGATAGTCAAGCTAGAGGAGAAGGTGTAGAGCAGCCACAGGAATTCAAGTTAGGTTTTCATACTAAACACAGTGCTTTAGACTTCACCAGCTAGTTCAAATCTGATAACTGGTCTTAGGCCTGCTCTCCGTTCAGCATGCTGTTAATGGTGTTCTCACTGATGAAGATGCACAGAGACCACTGAAGATTATTTCTTCATTGGGTTACAAATCATAAAATAAAAATACACATTGTTCAGAGTCTGAACCAATTTTCTTCCACCCTCACTTGTACATCAGTGTTCCCAGTCTGGTTTTGTAGTTTGAGAACAAAATGAGGGGTGACTAACTCAAACATCAAATAGATATAGTTTTAATGGTCGAGAATTGAGTTACTGGCTGGTGGCAGTCCATGAATATGTGTGTAGATCCAGCTGTCCACAGTTACTAATAATCTTTCTCCAGTGTTCTCCAGCTTTCCATCCTGTGTCCTAAAATGTTGCATCACAGAGTGAATAACAGGAACAGTAAAGCAAGAGTGTTCTTGTTGGAATGATCTGAACAGGGGATAAAGGAAACACTTCTTGTAATGCTTGTAAAGTGCTTGCAACATATGACAGTTTGGTGCTACTGGCATCTCCATTGCTGTCAAAGTATTGCCTTGGAAGTGGTGCTGTGCCAAGTCAAAGACAAGTTGTTGGGAGAAGTAAAGGCGGAATAAACATACGTGAGGTTAATGGTATAAGTGTCAGTGTCTGGGGAGCAGAGGAGGGGACAGCCATTGTATCAAAAGTAAAATTTGAGTGTGGCATATCCATAGACAGGAAAGACTTGTCTGAATCTTACTGTCTGATAGCCCTGTGCTGAGAAACCAGGTGGAAAAGACTCTGAGCTCTTCTGCTTTGTAGTATTTTAGAGTTGGGCCAGCTACTGAAGAGTAACTCCAAGGCAAAAAGCATTGTCAAACTCATTGCCTTTTTTCTTGGCAGTTTTGGATAAAGTCATTAGACGCTCCAGGCCACATCAGGAGTTTAAACAAGTGGAGCACAAATTTGGGAACAAAAGGAGTAGTTAATAGTGGGTTTTTATCCTAGTAAAGCTAACTTTAAAAAAAAAAAAAAAAAAAAAAAAAAAAACCACAAAACAACAACAAACCAACCACAAGGCCCCAGATCCCTTGGTGGTATTCTTATATTTTGATGAAATTCAGAAATAATGTAACCTCTCAATTTTGTATATTTGACTTATCTCCTCCTTCAGAAAAATCATTCTTCCACTGGAAATACCAATTCTTAGTCTATGTAATGCAAAATTAGATGGGTTGTGCACAATTATGGCATTGTGTGTAGGAGAAGAGCAAAGATTAACCAGTTCTAAGCATTTCTCATTACTTTTTCCTGGGAAAAATATCATTTATGGAGTTAAAGAGTAATTGCATACTACCAGATATTAAATAGTAATTCTGTGTATTAACAGCATTACTGTCACTTTAGAGGTTAGCCTTTAGTGTGTCTCACTGATTCTCAGATTTCCTTCACTCTGTTTATTGCAGATTGTTTACTACTAGTGTCATGTCCAAGAACCTGAAATTGTTAATATTTGTCAGCTTCATAAATAGATTAACTATATATAAATGGACTTATAGCAATATTTCTTAGTCAGCATCTTGACAATATATTCTTGGGTTTTATTGCTTCAATTTCAATGTCAGTGAAATATCATATTTCTTGTTTGTGGGTTGTGTGGAGGGCTTACAGAAACTACCTAAAAGACCTACCTTTTAAAAAGAAGTCTGCTTCTACATATAATTCCTGTATTAAATATGACATTATTTAACATTTTTCGAGAGAAGTCATTTAGTTGTGCAAGAAGAATAAAGTAATTGGTTTCACGACTGCTGTTTAGATTTAAGGAATTCAGCATTTCTTTTAGGAATCAAGGAGTAGAGTGAAGTCCTGGGATTCTTTTAGACTTGTTCTAGATGGCTTGTGTTCCCTCTGATCCAAGTTCCTTAAATTTTTAATTTGCAACTGCGATTTAAAAGAATCTTGAGGCTTTTGTACATAGAGCAGTGGGTGGCCAAATCTTTCTATAGTTGCCTCATTGTTGTCTTAATATTAAGACATTGAACATTGGCAGTAAATCAGAAGTAGATTAGAACAAGGCACTGGGTGAATCTCAATTATTGTATTTCAGATAGTTAATACATAGCAGATGCCAGCACTCTATATGGATGCCTTTTGTAATTTTTGGCCTGTTTTTAGGCAACTAAGTTAAGTTAGTCTAGAAATAATTTAGAAAAAAAAATTCTGTGCCAAAAAGCCTGATTCTTAAGCAGAATTTCCAAGGCTTTATTCTTTGAATGGCAAACTAAAAGCTAAAAAAGAATAAGCTTAATAGTAGTGACAATAAAAGTTGCATGCTAATATTGTATGCCACTTTTAAATAGTTGTTTGTCCATACAAATATTGCTCATTTCCATTAAGTGAAAATGTGGAGTATTAACTCATTCAAAACCCATTAAATGGGTAAAACCCAGTTTACATTTTACACGTGTTGCAATAAACTCGTTCCTCATGTCTGTCTTTATAGTAGAGATTTAAGCTGACCTAATGTACAGATCTACAGGAGTGAGTTATCAGGAGGTGAACTTTATCACCTTGGTGCAGTTTTGTTTTCATTTTTTTCACCATTCTAAAAGTGTATTATCCCCCTGACAGGAGCATGTGTTTCAGGATTTTTTTTGACTGCTTTACGTATCCATAGTTCTTACTCAGTTTCCAGGGTTGTCCTCTGAAAAGGAAATGTTTCTTCTGCTTTCAGGCTCATCTGCTTCTAGTGATCCCATATGGTCTGGCCATTCACCACCACCGCATCAAGAAAATTGGGTCAGTTTTGCAGATACCCCACCAACCAGTGCTCTTTTAGCCATACATCCTGCTTCTGTCCAGGTGTGACACTTTATTGGTATTTTATTTGCTTCATTCAGATTGATGTTGCAATCCTTTTTTTTCTTTATAGTCTTCATTGCAGGTGTTTACTGTTTATCTGTGCTGTAGTCTGTTCAGTGCTATTTACCCAACAGATACTTGTTTCATTGAATTGACTTAATTCGGAATGATTAACTGAAAGCTAGTAATTTTAAAAATGTCAACAATTATGACTGTAAAACATTCGTGTTAAGCTTTTTTGCATATGTGCCATAGTTTTTTTTTCTGCTTGCATACCTGCAGTCATTCCTATCCATATGTATCAGTGTGCAAAAATACCCTGTCATTATCCTGTAGATGCAATCTCCTGATAGCTTCCTGCAGTTTTTCAAACTTCTACGAGATTTAAATATGCTTTATTTTTTGAAGGCAAGAAGTTGAGAATTCATGAAGCATTTTAGGTAGATAATACTGAGGAAAAATATTTCATTTCAGGACCAGACAACAGTACGAACTGTAGCATCAGCTACAACAACAAATGAAATTCGTAGGCAATCAAGTAGTTATGATGACCCCTGGAAAATAACTGATGAACAAAGGCAGTATTATGTTAATCAGTTTAAAACCATTCAACCTGATCTAAATGGATTTATACCAGGTAAGTTACTCTTTAAAAAATATAATTGTGAGTGCAGCAGTTCTGTTACAAAGACTTTGTTGTGTACTTAGGTTTGCATAACATTTTTAAGAAAGTTCTGCATTTTACTGATAACGATCTGGTAAACTCCAGTGTAATTCAAGAAAGGACTTCAAACTAATTTGCCTTTTTTCTTCATTTAACCCTAGTAGGTAGTGCCATTTTTCCCAAAACGTTTGCTAAATAGCTCATCTTCTTTACCATAACTATAAATATTCTAATGATTTAACTTGCTTTAAGTTTTAAAAATGGTTGTTGTAACTTTTCAGGATCTGCAGCTAAAGAATTTTTCACTAAGTCAAAACTACCTATTCTTGAACTTTCTCACATTTGGTAAGTGTTATGTGCCTATATTTGGGATAATTATTTAGAAGGATGACAGCTATCTGGTAGTCATCTAATAATCTACTTACTAGAAGGTGTTACCAAGTGAAATTTGACTAGTACTCTGGTATGTTCTGTCCCACTCACATTTATGCCAATATTACTTTAGTGGGCTTTAATGGATCTAGGCTGACACTATTTACAAGGCATTTTGAGCTTTTGAAGATATTTCAGACACTTCAGAGTATGAAGTAATTTATTTGAGGTTTTTATTGTTAAAGATGCATTTATAATATTTAAATAATTCCTTATCTGTATTTATTTATTCAAGTCTAAGTTGAAATGAAATTTACAGATGCAAATATTTTTAAATGCACTTAGTGGGACTTGATGACAAATTGAGCTTTGTCTTGGTGCAAAGTTTGTATTTTGTTGTATTCTGGAATTCATACTGCATCGTTGCATGCTATCATTAAATGATACCTTGGCAGATTTGATCTTTCTTTCAGTGTAATGATTTCTAATTCAGATATTTTCCCATTTAAAATAAATCATGTTCCTTCGGCACTATTGTTTCTTTACTATACTTTGCCAAAAATAAGAGGCCAATAATATTGTGTAGTACTGTCTTAAATGAGTTAAAACCTGGAGAGATAAAAGTGGGTTTAAGTGATCTTTAAGCTCACAGAAATGTTATTAATGAAGGCTCATCTTCTTTGAAGAGTAAAGCATGTAGCACTAATATGAAGTGTTTAATAGGATAAAATGAACTATAAACTGCATTCTTTGATCTTCCAAGTGGCAAAACAGAAGTATGTCTTTTACCAATAAAATAACCTTAAGAAATTTTATTAATATAAAGTTTTCCTTTTTAGGGAACTGTCAGATTTTGATAAAGATGGTGCACTGACATTGGACGAGTTCTGTGCTGCATTTCATCTGGTCGTTGCTAGGAAGAATGGGTATGATTTGCCAGAGAAGTTACCTGAAAGTTTAATGCCCAAACTGATTGATTTGGAAGACTCAACGGGTAAGACATGCTTCAACACAAATGCCACTATTTTCAAATGATGGTATAGTTGTTACAGTGTATCAGCAGATATTTATAGCTTTGTAGGATCATAATGCATTAGTTATTGTGAAGTAAAACAATGTGCAATTTTTAAAAATCTTAGTGCGCAGAGCTAATCTGAGCGCATATATTAATGTATGGGTAGATGTTATTTAGGAACAGTACACACATTGGTTATTACATTTGGAAATACTGCCTGTGTCCTTTAAAGGTTAAGGAAAGCAAAGTTGTCGCAGTATGGATTTTATTCATGATCAGCTATTGTATTCCAGATTCCCAATCCAGCTATACTTCAAACTTGCTTTCACATGAATACACTTTCGGTTCACCCTTGTTTCTGAAAATGACATAAGTTTCTAAGTCTTGAAGCTACTTAGAAAATATTCCCAGATGCAGTGCTAGAGGTAAGACTGTGTAGTTTAGAAGTACAGGATCAGTAGCACAGATTCCTTTTTTAATTCTGCTTCTGACTTGACAGCAAGATTTATCCTCCGTTGCTTTGGCACCTAGTCTTTCTGTGCACAGTCCTTTACCTTTGGATACTCCTAGATAAACTACTGAATGTATGTGTTCTGCATGTTAATATGTGCCAAAAACTCGGTCCCATAACTGAGAAGCAAACTACTATTCTATGTAAAACTAGTGTTTGAAAATAGGATGTTTGTGGCCGTCTTCCTTTTTTATTTTTAAATGGATGAAGGAAACTGAATATTTTAAAACTGCTTTAAATTACTTTTTAACAAGCAATCTTTGCTTGCAAAGTCAGGTTATACTGTAGGTGCACAAGTACTATGATTTCCTAGAATTTTATTTCTTTTTACTAAATACTTCAAAGGGAGTCTCTTCATACTGTGTTTGTAGGACATTAAAGACTTTCATCTGACAATTATTGACGAGCTCTTAAACTAGAGGTAGTAAAAGCCACAGTGTCTGCTTTAATAATTAAACCATTTTTTGTGGGAGGAGCTTGGCTCCTCTAAGAACCTTTCCAACAGCAGTCAGCCACAACTGAAGTGTTTTTAGTGTAAGCATTTTGGTATGATGAAGACATTCATAAGAAATATCTACAATTAATTAGATGAATACCTAGAAAGTGTCTAAAACCTACCCCTTCTGTCTATTTTTGTGTTAAGGTGGTGGCCAAGCAAAAATCTTGTTAGGAAATAGAGTAACATTTATTTGTATAAACCACTGTTATTTTTTTAAAAAAACAACCCACCAACTATATCTGTACCCGGTCTTCTACTGGCTTTATTGGTAGTAGATTTCAAGGCTTTTATCATTTAACTGAAGTTGTTTGGAAACTTTATAAATTGGACATTAAACCAAAAAGTGTTAATGTGTATGTTTATTGTTCTTATTTTACAGGCAACTTTGTTAATATAAAAATTTGACTTCTTTTCATGAGGTACAAATTAAAGACCACTTTAATTTGAGGACAAAATATTTTTAAAGTCGTAAAAAAAAAGTTGAAGGGAAATTACCCTGTTCTAGTGACTGTTAAAAGGTTACTGGTGAAGCTGTGCTTAAAAAACAAAGTAGTTCTAATTGATACTTGATTCTGCTGTTAACAGCTACAATGAAAAGTGACAGTCCTTGCAAACTTTTTTAGTTTGGGCCACCAGTATTGGAAATAGCTAATCTTTTCTAGCACCTAATATGATTTATCACCAAAACTTGTATGTTGAATGAAAGACTTCAGAAATTATTGACGTGGCTATAGTTTAACTTGTAGTTACAACAGTCCAAATCTCCAGTATACATTTACTATTTTAATCTAAGTTAAAAGTTACTCATAGGTCTTTGTGCAGACTAATATGCATGTTAAATTACATGGATTCAATTTAAGGACTGTAAATGAGCCTAGAAACGTAAAACAGGTAAATTTCTGTAATAATTTTTTCTTTCTAGTTTCCGTAAAATCTGTATTTCAATAAAGCTTGATTCCAGCAGCCTTCTCAAAAATAGAAACTGTAAAGCATGGCACCGGAGTGTGTTTTTGAGTGCACTTTTTTCATGGGATACAACTTTCTCAAAGAAAGAAATTGTTAGTGATCTTCTGTTGACCAAAGCCTCAGTGTTCAAGAAGGTGAATTACTTTAACGTCTTTGTAAACCAATGTGCAAGGTGGTAAACTTTATTTTGAAATTGTTAACAGTGCCCTTATTATTAATTCTATCCTTTTGTTAGAAACTTTCCCCTTGATCTTCCATGCTTCTGCTCTGCAGTTGAAACTTACTGTCATTGTCCATTTTGACTTTTGAACTAGTGGCCAGCAGAAAGAAAAGCAACAGGGCTCCCTGCATCGTGCATCTTGGTTCAGGCAGAGGGAGGGAAGAACTCCCGTGATCTACACTGGCAGGCACTCCCTCATCAGCCCCTGTGGGTCTGTTAGGTGACCAACTGCAGGTGTCCCAAACCCATTAACATATTGGTCTTGTCCTGCATCTGATTTCATGACCGGGGATATGTATTTCTCACATGACAGAGACCCATTGTATAGTAAAGCATTTATATAGTTGGTCATTTTTCTGGTATAGCACTACACGTCTTCAGAACATTAATAGAAGAAAATGTTAAATGAGGTGCTAATATCTTTCTGCTGACTAGAGAGAGAAATTAGGTGTTTCAAGTTCTTAGAATAGCGTGGTAATTCAACAACACATTTGAATGGTTTTGGTGTTTTGAATTGGATCTTGTTCGTCAAAGAATTATATGGACTGCAGCAGCTCCACTTAAGATTTAACATTGTATTATGGTATATGTAGATAGGTAACGTCAGCCCTTCAGGATGAGCAAGATCTGTCTGTGTAAGAACAGCCTGTAGAAGAAAACTCCAGTGTATGAAACTGGGAGCATGAAGTCAGGCAGTTGTACAAATACTTCTCTAAGTGCTTCTACATTTATTTTATGAAATGAGTACAGTTGATAGTACCTGCATCTGTCTTGTCATAATTTATGATCTGCAGCTGAAAAGAGCACTAGTCTCCCTTTCTGTTATGTAAATAAATGTGAATATTTTCCTTTAAACTAAATTTTGTCTCGGTTAGTAAGAGCGACCAGCCCTTTACAAATCCCAAAACAAGTTTTGCTTTCCTGTGAATTTGGTTTTTGTTTGGGCTGCTGCAGTAGTACCATTTCTTTGTAAGAAAAAGAATCTGCCATGCTTTGTGTCTTACACAACTTAATTACTTAACCCTTGAAGTTTTCCATGGATGTCTTATGCATGTTTCATGTAGATATTTGCAAAATTCCTTGAATTACAGGTAGCTGCGTAGTCTATCCCCAGCAGTTTGCAGCCTTATCTTTTGACTTTGTGTTTACCACTAGCAGTTAGTTCAGTTATCTAGTGCATCACCATTGAAATGAAAATTTTCAGTGTTTTATTAACTCATCAGAAAATTTTAATTCATATTACACTTTGGAGCAATTGGTATGCAATACGCATTCCCAGAACATTACCAATGGCTATTTTGAACTTAGGGTATTATTTTGTGTACAATGGCCACAGCATGTCATCCTGATGATGGCGACAGTTGGCAACATCATTGCGCCTGTAAATATCAGCTTGATGTAGCCTGTTTTTTAATTGCTAGATGCTTTTTGCCTGAAGCAGGTATTACATGCAGCTTCTATCTTGAATAACTTGCAAGGCCATTTTCCCTGAAGGACAGTGGTATAAGATGCTGGGTGCTGGGCACAATTTTAGAAACAGGGAGTCTCAACCGGATGTCTGGTTATTTATAGGAACTTTACAATACCTTTGAAATTTTGATGAGTTACTGGTTTCTGTGTGTGGCTTTTTTCATGTCAGTAGCAACTCAGTCGCACCTGGTCTCAAGATGGGGCAATTAATTTTTTTCTGGACTTTTCTAATGTGTTGGCTATGCTTTTTAGGCTGGTCTTCTTCCTGTCCCCAGCAGCACTTCAGAGACAATAATGGGTGGTTGTTGATTTTCAGAGGTGCAGTTGGTCACCGTTGAGTATTCCAGTGTTTCCTCTTCAGTTTGACACTGAATTTGTTACAAGTTCCTTCTGAATGCAAGACAGGAGACAAAATATGGAGCTGCCATAGCAGGAGAGCAGGCTGCAGAGTTCAGCTCTGCAGGAGCCAGAAACCAGTCCTTTTTATAAATTTTAATCAATTTTTGGTACAGTGTATCACACATTCTTGTGGCAGTTGTCTTCAATCACAGTATCTGTCAAGCAGTCCTTTTGAATGGTAATTTAATTAAGCCATCTTTTCCTCTTGTGTGCAATATTTTGTCTTGTTGAGAATTTTAATTCTTTGGACTACAAACATCTTATATGTCTAGCTACTTATCAGACACTTTTCTTTCAGCTGTTTCTGTTACATTATACAGTTGTAATCTGAACTTCAGTTTTTTGAGGTTTCAGTGCATTGCTTTAGCTTGTATTGTGGTATCTAGCAAAGTAGAAGACACCGTAAGCAGGATTTTACTGTGTTACACAGAATGCTTAATCTGCTGTTCAGATTTACTTTACCCAGTTTTTTTACAGTTTGAACAGGAAAAAAAGTGTGCTGCATCATGAAAATTATAAAGCTCTGAAAGAGGAAAGCTCAGGGGAAACTGAAATAACAGTAACAATGTACAGTTGTTATGTGACAGCTGCTAGACTTGAAGTTGAAAATGTAGTGAATGAAAACTTAAAATATTCTGTGGGGAATAATCAAAGAGAATGGTTTTGTTCATCTCTGTTCATATTTTTTGTTTGTGTTTGCATTGATATACTTGTTTTGCTTTAACCTTTCATATAAGGAAGTATTTTATTCTGTAAGATAAACCTCTCATTGCTGGATTTAATGCAATGAACATTAGTGTGAAGTAATTTTCTCATAATGTAAGAATGAATTATATTTATTTCTACATGTAATCAAAATCTAAAAATGCTATTTAAAAGCCAGAGTACAGAGAGATGCTATGGTACAGGGTGATCTTCAAAGTCCAGTTTTCAGAAGGATCCTCAAAATAAGAGTAGCACCTGGTAAATAGTGTATTTGACTGGAACGAGTGTGGTTTAGTTGTTGGGTTTTTTTGGGGTTTTTTGGTCTACTGCTAAGTATTTACTTGGAAAAGATAAAATCAAAGGGTACTTTGCACTTTCCATGAGATGTGAGCAGCTCTTCTGAGAATAAACTGAATGCAATTTATGATTTTAGTTTATAGTGATTCCTGTCGTTTCAGAAGTTGGGGAACAGACTGGTGAGGTAGGTTACTCCAGCTCTCCAGCAGAAGCACCTCCAAGCAAGTCTCCATCAATGCCATCCCTAAACCAGACCTGGCCAGAATTGAATCAGAGCAGTGAGGTTAGCACTTTTTATTTAAGAGCTATTTCATTGCCAGTCAACAACTAAATTGTTTATGTATCCATAATTCATCGTAAGTGGATTGTTGATCACAAATTATGAAAAAGTTAGCATGACAATAGACACAGGAAAGTTCTACATATCTTAAATTGTAAGAAAAGGTAATGTTTTCCTCCTAATTTTTCTGTCTCATTGTGAGATGAGCTACTATTTAAAATGTTGTCATTAATGGTAATTAAGACTTATATTGATCACAAAATTACCTCATAGCATTAATTGGAAAAGTTGAATTCCTGATTTTTTTTATTTAGGGTGGGGTTTTGGTTGTTTTTTTGTTACATCTGAAGGGCTATTATAGCCAACACTTTTGCAAAACTACCAAATAAATTTCTGATGGATCTGGATATCTAGACGTATTTCTGGAGGTGGTTTTACCCTGAAATATGAAATATCCCACCAGTAATGTAGAGAAGTCATAGCTCCAGGTTTGTTTCAGAAGAAAAGACTCAAAGTTGAATCTGAAGCCAACCATTGGCTACATTTATTTAAATTTTAATTTTCTGCTGTTACATACTGCTGCTTTATCATTGTTTACCATACGTGTTTGCTATATAAGCAGTCTTACATAGTAAAGCTGTATTGTGTCAGAATTTGAAATTGAAGTTACCAAACAGGAATTCCCTCACACCCCACAATGTCCATTGTTTAAAAAGCTTAGAAGGGATTGATTCCTAGAGGTTTAATTGTTGCTCTGGATTAACATTTTTGCCTTTGACTTAGAATAAACCAGTGTTTTATTCTAAGAGCTACTTCAAAGACTTAAATGAGTTCCTGACTGCAACCATATTACAAAGATGAGGTAGGCTTATTTTTCGTTGGGCAGGGAAGTACTGAAATATTTTTTGAAAACTTTTCATTTGATAATTTGAGACTGTCAAGAAGAATCTAAAACTCGTTTTGACATCAAAGATAGTTCTGTCAGTAGCTAAGTATTATCTTAGCGGCTTTGCTTATTGAAAGAGCTTTGTGTGGCTTTCTTCTTCTTCAGTAGACTTCAAGTGAGTAGAAGATTGGTAGTAAAAGACTTAGACGAACCAAAGGAGAGTCAGTATGAAACAGAAAATAAGCAAATACTTAGGTTTACAGTTTTCGAGCAGCTGTTTTCTTCCTCTTGCAGGAGGAAGGACTTTACATAAAGTCTGTTGTTCCTCTTAAGGGCAAATGCTAGCCTTAGTGATGTCCTTACCAAATAAAAAATGTGGGAAATGATTTAGTGATTCTTAGTTGTTCTGTTTGACAGAGTGACTCAGACTGCTGGTAGGAAGCTGTGTTTTAGGAGGGAGGTGAGCAGATACTCAGCTGTTGCTGAAAAGCTGTAAATGTGTGCAACTGTATTAAAATTTGCATTGGTACTTTCCCTCATGTTTGCAATAAAGATTTATTAAACTAGTCATTTGGTGAGCTGTATCATCATTGAACAGATTCCTTCAGTGTCCGGTGCAACTCAAACCAATTGAAAAGACTAATTGCAGTAGTGGAACAAAGTTAATGACAATTCTCTGTCAGCCAAGATCTTGTCTTACAGAACTGACTTTGTCCATTTGGATAATGTGGTAATTTTTTTCTGAAAATCTACTAAAACTTTAAGAGGTTTGGAGAAGTTCTCACACTAAACATACTACCAGATACTAACTATACTAAAAAGTTGAACAGGTATTAAATGTTAAGAGTTTCTTGTTCTAACACAAAGGAATTTCTGATTTTTCAGCTATATTGCCATGCGTGCTTCTTGCTCCTCAGCATTTTCTTTTGACCATGATAAGATTTCTGGTATTACTGCAGGCACCAGTCTAATTGTTTCCTCTTTCAACCTCATAACTGTCATCAACAAATTAATTGCTTGAAAAAGCTATGCATCTTTCGATTGTCTACCTTTCCAGGCAGTTTCATCCCGTTAGTTTCCAAACTGTTGGTTACTCTGTTCTTTTTAGCTCATAGCTGATTTTTAGACTTACTGTAAACTCCCAAGTATGGACCAAGGCATCAATCTCAAACTTCAGAGTAAAGAGCACCATGACAATCCACATAACTCTGGATACTACATGCTTCGCATTCTCATCTCGTCACTCATCACTTCTTTCTCACTTCAGGCATCTTTTCCACCCAGTCTCAAGGCTGAGCACTAAGTTCTGACAGCTTAAAAAAAATTGAGAAGCCTACTGAATTTTTGTTGAAAACAGTCTAGTGTCATCTGGTCATATTAGCTTTGATGCAGATATGGAGATCTGCTTTTGAGTTCAACTGTTACACCTTGTTTCAAATGTCTCGGTGTTCTGTTAGTAACGGTTCACGTTGCTGTGAGTTTTAGTTTCTAGTAATTAACCTTTTGAAAGCATTTTTTAAAACATTGTTGCAAGTGTAGAAGACAAGTATTTTAGTTTGAGCTAGTAGGAGTTTTATCCTAGCAAATCAGTTGTATTGTCAATGCTCTCAAACCTTGCACAGAGTTCGAGATGCAGTCCAGATCCTTTATGTAAGTACTTTCTATTAACCAGGGAGTTAGCAGTAACTAGCTTCTGGTAGTATTTCAGGATGGAGCACAAATAGCATATTCCCCAGAGCAGTCAGGAGGTGTTAGTGTTCATTTGTCCGTGCCCAGCTAGGGAGCCTGAGGACAATTAACAAACGTCCTGCAGTTTGGCTTCAGAGGAGTAGAATAAGAGGCAAAATCTGCATCCATCTCTAAAAAAAAATAGTATTTTAGCATTGATCTTCACTATAACAGATGCCGTATGCCTTTATGGAAGGTTTGAAAAATTAAGAAGCAGTATTTCTGTAATCAAATGATCTGTTTGCCAGCCTCACTGGTAACTCTGAAGCCACTGGCCAAATCAAGTTTAAAAGGGTAGTGGTAGTCCTAAAATAAATATTAATGCATGTTTCATGAAAATGTGCAGCTGTGTAAATGCAAGAGGCCATATCAGGGGAAAGACTGGCAGAACTTGGCCATGAAGTTTCTGGCTTAGTAAAAACTGGCTCACTCAGCAGGTTTGTATAGCTCCAAACTACTTGCAGTGCTGCCCCTTCATGAAGGGGTGTAGTGACAGAGATGAACTGTGTAATACAGGGAGTAGGACAGAGCAGTTAAGAAGGGAAGCCTTACATCCTTACTAAAAAGGTTTCATTAGATTCTGTGCAAGAAGGGGGTATTTTCATGTGTTTAAAAACAAAACAAAAAGCCAGCAACAGCAAAACAACCAGGAAAAAAACCACCCCAAAACCCCATGTGAAAAGTATCCCATAATTGTTACCCTAGTTTAAAGTTTGAAATGAGGAGATAAGGCTCTGTATCTACAAGGAGCGGCAGCATGCATGAAAGCACTTACAAATTTAGTTAATCTTTTTCTGAATTTCATTTCAGCTGGTGGAAAACAGTTATTTAGACATTTCTGTAGAGTTATTTCTGAAATAACTGTTTCAGACTAGGTTCACAAACAGGCCATTCACCAAATGTAGCTCAGTGTAGAGGAGCCCATGAGATTAGGTTGATTAACTCTGTGTAGTTTGTCCTATGTCTTCTGGAATCATTTACATTGATTTGCCTACAGAGATGGGACAAGAATATTAATTTGTTTTCACAGCTATGCTGACATCATTTATGTCAATTTTTCTGAGCTCGAAAAATTTTGTATATGCTATTTTTCGTTGTAGTGTTTGAAACTTGGTTAATATTGTTGTTTTACCAAAATATAACAAGTTCAGCATGCCTGTTGTGATTTGTAATCTGATTTCTGGATCACAAACTAATTTTATGTACTTTGGTGCTTTGTTGATCCAGTTGTGGCTATAGCTTGACTTACTAAGTCTGAGAACTCTTGACAACCATGTATTGATACAGCATGACTATATCTTACAACATTGTTCAGAGATTGACTTATTTGCTTTTAGCAATCAACAGTATGTTTGAATTTAATTCTTTGCCTTGTCAGTGATTTAGACTTGTAAAAATACTCTTTTACAGCATAGAATCACTTCTCAGGGGTTGCACTGGCAGGCTGAACTGGTGGAGTACTCTGCTCAGTGTTCATTTGCCTTTTGAAACACAGGCACTACAAAGCTGAGGAAGCTTTCTGTGGATTTTATAATTACAAATACACACAACGTGTGGCACTGATTTATCTTTACAATATGTGAGTGGCTTAACCATTTTTTTACGTGTATGATTTTCATTGGCAAATATGAACTCTGAAGATACTTCTGTGTTGACTGTGCACCTGTATCTTCATTATGAATTGTGAATGTAAAGTTTAACATTGACAGGTAACAAACTTGGTTGCACAAGTCTCAGACCAAAATAGAAATACTTACTGTGTATCAGTGTGCTTTCCAAATCAAGTACTGTCCAGTGCAAATACAGTGCTTTCCAGTGCAACCTCCAAACTACTATGCTAAATCTCCTCAGTGATCTTTTACTCCCATCTTTCTCATCATGCTGACTTCTCTCCTCTGTCTGTTCAGCAGTGGGAGACATTTAGCGAACGCTCTTCAAGCTCACAAACTCTGACCCAATTTGATTCTAACATTGCACCAGCTGATCCTGTAAGTCAATCACTTAGCTTGCTCGTTTGAAATTAATTTTATTAACACTGAATTTCCATTCATTGTATTTAGCTGTTATGCATGATTCCATGGACTGCTTTTTGGGGAATGGTGGCAGGCTTCTTAATTTTTTTGCTTATTTTAGGAATATAAATTTTCTTGTACTGCTCATGTTTAATATCTGAGTGCAAAGAATGCTTTTTTTGCTTGATTTTGATGTAATACAACACTGCTATCAAAACCTGTATTACACAAAGTATTTAAACATAGTAGTTTTTTGAAAATGTTTGTAAGTCAATGCAAGGGCCACTCCCAGTGATAAACCAGACACATTTTAGATTTTGTCTTCAGTGTTGTTTTGTTTTTTTTCAAGTTTCAGAGCTTGATTTGTGCAAACCCTTAGGAGCTGGCAATGCCAGCTTCACTGAAAAAACTACTGGACTTTAATGGGTGTGATATTTCATACTCCTAATGTTTTCACCAAGTTATTTATTAATAAGGCTTTTAGTGTTTTTTCCAGCTAAACCTGTGCTGTTCTAATGCTTTACTCGGTGAGGAACGCTGTGAAGGATTACGTAGTTAAATATCTTGCCAAGTTTGGGAGCCAGAAATTCACTACAGTGTTTCAAGTTCTGCTGGTTTTAAACTTCATGGAATGTGACACTGAAGCAGTTCTGAAATGCATTAAAATTACTTCAGTATTTAGCTGCTGCTTTCATCCTGCTTTTCTTACAGATTTAACTACCACTGTTAGTGTCCATTTTAATTTAATTAATAATGGTGTTAGTGTCCGTTTGATTGTATAACAATGGAACAGGTATACATAATAGGCATTTAACTGCTTTTGGTATTAACCAGGTCACTTCTGAAAAGATATAATACATAGATATACATATATTTTGAACACCTCAGTGTTCCCCTCACAGAGTTAACGCTGATATTTATGTGGAAATAGCATTTCTAGATGCTGGAAGCTAGAATTCAAACAGCACTGTTCCCTCTCCTCAGAAATGCCCTTAGTAAACATTCAAAACAAAAGAAACAGTCATATTTTTAAAATATAATGAAATGTGATGGAAATGAGTTTTTAGTTATTTCTTACTGTGTATAATTGCTGGACAGTAAAGAGTTATCACTATCTTTTTTCCACAATAAGATAATAATTTATTTTTACACAAAATTAGTAAATGACAGAAATCTGAAGTTTGACTTTTTTTCCGTATGTTGATAATCTAAAAAGTAGAACAGTGCTGATCTATGGAAAACCCGTATATAGCCATATAGATGTTTGTCTGTGTGTGCATGTGTGTATAAACAGAAATTCAGTAGAAATACAAAAGATACACCATGAGGTCACATTCTTGAGTCATTTTCTTACAATGCTTGTAATTGAGAAAAATTTTTAAAAATGGTGAGCATCTTTGGTGCTTGCTAAGAGAACAGACTTTGGAAATAGATATTTCAGAGTCTTTATTTTCATACAAAAATAAGAACAAGTGACAGCAACTTTTCAGTAGCAGAGTGCAAACTTCTTATTTTAGCAGTCTGAACAAAGATGCATAGGACTGATTTATTGAACAGCTCCTGCTTTCTCAAAGGAGAGAATCAGCTTTCTTGAGCAGTTGTTAATAACTAACTAAAGAGTAAATTCATAGACCAGTTCTTTTCTCTTTTTGTGGGAAAAGCAGCTGGTTTGGAGGTAAAAGATAAGTGGAAAGAGTAAAGCAGTACATTCATCCCCTGGTATGGGAACATAATTTGCCTATTGTAAGTGAAAGTTGGTAACATGTTATTTCGTATAAAATTAGATTCATGACCTGAATTAATACGCTATATAAAAATCCGTTTAACTATTTGAGAGATGATTTTTATAGTAGCTGCATGTTAGATTACAGCAGATGACTGAAGTAACTACAGCGAGAGTGATCTTTGCATGATAATCCCATTACAGGGAGGGGAAAAAAAAGCAGTATGCTTTGAAGTGATAACTATTCCTAAAAGCCTGGCACAACAAAAGCGTTTGAGCTTTGACTAGAAAGTGTATTTAAAAGTATATATTTGCAACAAGAGTAGTGCAAGTCAGTTGAAATAGTTTTAGAAAATATTCATGTAAATGTATTATGCTTGGTGAAATTGATCTACTTGAGTAGTCAAAACAGATTAAATTTCTGATACAAGGATAGCTTTGAAACTTCTTGTTATTTCTAGGGACAGAATATAATCTGGGATTTTTTTGTGCTGTCATTGTCCCACCTGTTCATGTATTCTGAATATAGATGACAGTAAAATACTCTGACAGCTCTGTGCATATTTTTAGATTACTTGTGAACAAACATAAAAGTTTTGAGATATTTTTGAAGCTATCTACATTCAGTCTTCAAGCCAGATGGAAAGGGCTGTCTATAAAGTACATTAAAATGGAGTCCTTTGTCTGAACTACAAAGAAAATACCTACGTGTAAGGTCAATGCCTATCTAGAGATATATTCCATAGGGTTTATTATCCTGAAGTTTAGAAGATTCTACTATTTTAAAGACTCCTGAAACTATTTGTCTTAAACGACTACACAGCACCTATTTTGTAGAGAATTACTCATACAATTTAAAGAGGCCATAACTTTGAGACATTGTAAGTAAAGCCGAGGAGTGGGACTTTGAAGTTGTGGGTTTGGGGTTTTTTTTGAAGATGCACTTGAAGTAACAGATATCCGGTATGCCAAAAATGGTGGAAAGCTGGTAAAATTGAGGTCCTGTTCACAACGTGGTTATCTATAGAAACATTTCTAGTGCCCTTTTAAAGCAATATGCTAGCTTACACCTTATAAATCATTAGAGAAACTTAAGTTTATAGAGCTGTGGTTTTATGGGTATATTCAGTTTTCTGGAACTGTGTAAAATTAAATTTTAAGAAATTTTGTTTAAAAATGACATTTCACATGATGCCAGAGACCCTTAATGGAACAGTTTAAACCTGGATTAACATCACTTGACTCTGATCTCCTCCACAGGACACTGCAATTGTGCACCCAGTTCCCATAAGAATGACTCCCAGCAAAATCCACATGCAGGAAATGGAGCTTAAAAGAACTGGAAGTGGTAGGATATTTTCTTTTGCTAATGAGGAAAGTTTTGTACAATTAGAGTTTTCTTTGCTTCCTTAAGAATGCTGACTTTTTTCCTTCTCCTTAGATTAATATATCTAATGTTGTAACCAGTATAATTAGTGACATTCTCTGAGTTAAGAATTCAGATAGTTGCAGAATTTGAATTAGCCATTTGATACAGTGAGGATTTCACCATCTATAGGAGATCATTTCTTGGAGTAGTTCAGGAGCATCATGATAGAGATTTGATTTGGGCATCTGGAAGAATTTCTAGGTTTCCTTAGTAAATACTGAAGGAGACTGTGAAGATGGGGAACAGAGCCTACATTGATAAAGCATGTTCTACTGTGGTCAGAAATACAGAGTTTATTATTTTGAAACCTGACAGCATTTGGGAGTATTGGCAGGCCTTTTTTCTAATACTCTGGTGAATAATAAGCAATGTGGTTTGATAATTTTCCTTGAGGAACAGTAGAGTCTCAATTTATAGGTGTGTCCCAGTATGCCAGTATTTCCTCAAGTCATGGAAGTCATGCACAGTCTTCAGCATACGAGAATAAACAAGTATCCACAACATTTCTTTTTAAAATTTCCTTAGCCTTGTAAATAGGTAGATTCCCAACTCTTAGCATTGAGAAATAGAAAGCAAGCTATTACAGTGTAAAACTTTAAAGTTATAGTAATTCGTTCACCAAAAGTGTTAACATACAACAGTTTAGTCTTGAATATAACAGTTCTGTTAAGGGTGAAAAACTAATGTAAAGCTTTGGCATTAGAAATGAAGGCTAGTTTGGATACACTTGTTGATTTAGACTTGCTTTTTCCATCTAGATCATGCTAACCCTACTAGCCCACTACTTGTGAAACCACCTGATCTCCCAGAAGAAAACAAAATTAGTTCATCTGTAAAATTCACAGCTGCAAATACAGTTAGTAAGTATCAAAGTACTTTCTGATCTAATTTTTTACATTACACAAACTGTAGATCTGATACATTCTTCAGTGAATTAAAATTTGCTAGATAGGGTAAGTTTTGCTCATTTTAGAGCTTCTGCTAAGAATAGAGACAAGTTTTGCTCATTTTAGAGCTTCTGCTAAGAATAGAGACATTTCTGATACGAAGTGTATATTGGAAGCTGTAATTAAGAAGGTTCTACGGATGTCGCTGGAGATGTTTTACTGCCATGTGTGTTTAAAAAAGTTCATTTTTGTCAGCTCTTTTCCGTCTTCGTGTTTACTCTTCTAATCTTATGATAAGAAATTTAAATGTATGGAAAGTGGAATTGACTATGTAGCATTTGATTCTGCTTCCTCAGAACTATGTAACAACACGTTTTCTGAAGAACAAAAACCTGTTGACCACAATTTTCAGGCAATTCTCATCTGGTTTAGCTACTAAGAAAATGCGATAGACTTCTAGATTTCTTTTTAAGATACAGCTTTTCAATTGTTTATTTGCTTCTAATAGCCTTTTTGATTTTCAGTATCTCCTGTGTCCAAAACATTTTGCATTATTTTGATTTGATTAGTCTACTTGTCTAATACAGAGAGAGGTTCCAGAATCTGTGTAGCCTGAATGAATCTATGGAGTCTGTTTCTGAGGTTTTTTGTTTGTTTTCTTTAAGCTGGGAACTGTTCTTTGGTAAAAATAAGATTTGAAGAACTCATGAATTTGAGTCCTTTGCATTAAGACAGAAGTATTTTGGTTGGTTTGTTATATGGGAGTAATTTAGGAAGTGCCTTTTTGCAATGTGTTTTGTGTTCCTCCATGAACTCTGTTTCAGTGGCACTCTTCATTCTGAGTGATGTCTTGAGCCTGACTGTCTTGGGTTTTTTTACAAGCAGAATTCTGTTTTTACTAGGTAGTCTTCTGGTGCAAAAGAAAGAATGAGCAAACATGGTCTCTTAGCGGGGAAAGTACTACTACATGCAAGATCTAAGTTCTGAGAGCCATTCTGTACTCCCTTTTGCTTATCCGAGTATCGTTTAAATTTTGATGAAGGGTCTGTAACTGATTATACCAAGAAGTATTCTTCTCTCAGAAGGAAGAATGTAGTGAAATAAAACAATCCTCATGGCAGTGGAACATAAAGCTACCCTGTAGTATCTCTAACTGTAGTTATTATAGGATGCCCATCCTTTTTCTGAAGAAATGGCTCTTGTCAATGTTCTAAAGTAATTTGGATGGTTAACGCTTTTCAGGTGAATCATGAATAAAACATTTAATACAAACTAACTCTAGAAAATGAATTTCTGATCCTTAAAAAAATCACTGTAAATACAACATGATTTTTTTTTTGTGAAGACTTTCTCTCTTGGTAATTACATTTCTAACCTTCTTTAGTGTCGTACTTCAATAGTGTATCTGAGCACTGTCTATGCTACATCAGTGACAGTGTCTATAGTGCGCTTCCTTGAGCTGTTGGGCTGCAGTCATTTTTTGGTGTTTGCTTTAGTTGCTTGCTTTTGTTTGTTTACCTTGAGAATAGGGAGTCTCAATCTTAATTTAAGCAAGTCCTTTTCTAAGTGGGTTTTGGGGTTGTTTGTTGAGATATCACTGTTTTGGAAGTGTTGTTTCAAAATTGATATTTTTAAGAACTTTTCTGAGTTGTACAGAGGAATACAGATTTCTTAGTGTTTTATTAATCAAAATTTAAATGCATATTAATTATTTTACTTCTCATGGTCTACTGTTCATGGATCAATATATTAAAATAGTATTTGAACTGAGAACCAATGGAGATTTATAAGCATCGTCTTGATGTTGAGGAATTAGCATTTTGTCCTTATCTTCCATGCTTTACATCACAGTAATTCAGCTTGGAAGTTAGGAATTTGTTAATAGCAGCTCAGACCTAAGCCAAGAAGCAGGGACACATTTTCCTATTGCATGAGATAAGAAAGAAGTCAGTAGGCACAGGCACTGCACAATTGTCTTTCTGTGCAAGCTGTGTGATTTGGAACAAAGGAGAGAGGATCTATAAACTTCAGAACGTCATAACTGGAGAAGTTCATCAATAATTCTTCTGATTTGATGGACATCCACAGAGTTGAAACTGCTATGCAAGTAAAAATAAAAGCAGCAAAAATAACTGTTTTCCCAAATTGTTTTAACTTTAAAGCATCATGCTACTTCAATATGTCATTAAGGACAATTTTGTGAATATGTTACTTTAAACTTCTGCTAAATTATATAAACAAGATCATGAATACTGCAATCAGAAGGGAAGGATATTCTAAATTGTCTTCCTTCATAGTGAAATACAGAGCTGGAGACTAACTTGTATTAGTAACACTGAAAAGCAGAAACCTCCCTTGAGGACAAAAATAACATTGCAAAAGCCTCTACAGCATTCATAATAGGAACTTTACCTGACTGTCATGATTACGTTACTGGAAATCCTGAAAAAGGGTTGTGTTAGATTTCAGATTGTGTTCGAACTCTTGATTTTGGATTAGCCAGTATTGGTGCAGTATGAAGATTACATTTGATAAGTGACCATCCTTTGCTATATATATAACCATTAAAATTGTTTACTATCCAAGTGTCTTTGAAACTGGTTTAGAAATACTTCTTCTATTATCAGTGTAAACCCAGTAGTTTTGTACTGAAACGATGTAAAACTTTTTGGTCCAGAAGGGCTTACTTCTTCCTCTTCAGAAGTGTGATTACATGAATTCTTGTTTGACTAGGTCATAGTACATCCTGAATGGCTGGAGAAATACACCCAGTACTAATGATGTTTGGATTGGAGAGAGATAATTTAATTTTCTCACTTGATCGTTGAAAACTTATGTCATCTCATTGTAGACATTTCAAGGTTTTTTTTAAAGAATGTGTGTATAGGTGCCATTTTTTAATTCTCTGTAGCCCTCACTGAATACACACACTTGTAAACCTGCAAAATAACTTCTAATCTGGAATGGATTTGAAATAAGGTATTCTTCAGCTGACACTGGATATGGTAAAGGTCTCAAGCCAACTTCAGTAGATTAATGTACCTGTAGTTTTAAAGGGTGGAGGGGGAGGAAGTAATAAGAATGCACCTAGCTGAACAGGAAAATCATCTCTGCAGGATTCTTGTCTCTGGGTCCTGACTGATGTGTCTTAACACTTTTGAAAACTTCAGTGTCGGAAAAATCTTGATGTTCTTGAGTAGAATTTTCCTCTTTACTGATAACTAATCAGGGGAGTCTCATTGCTCTGGTGACTTTCCACCTTGAATTGTGCTTTACCAGGTGTGCTGGAATCATGCCTTGTGATAAATTATTCTGAGATCCGTTTTTCTGTCTACATTCATTCCACACAAATCTTGTGATTTTGTTGAGACTCCTCATTTCTGGGGGAAAAACCCTCAAGCTTTGCACAGCTTGTAAGGGTGTCCTTAAGGAAATTGTCTATGTGATGCTGTAATAGCATCTTTCATTTTTATAGATTGCCTTAACTAAAAGATGAAAGCTTTTAAAAATATGTAGTCCAAAACAGAGCTTACTAAAAGCCCTGAAGGTACAGAAATTACAGTAGTAGTAAAGCTACCAAGTTCATCTGTTTACTGTACATATCTTTTCCTTTTTCTGATTTCTAAGGTTGGTGACAATCCTTCAGCACTTCTGGAATCAAGCATGTCCTACTGCTTGCCTTTTTATTCTTGGATGTGCCTTACACTTGTTGGCTACATTGTTGAAGTGATAGAATGTGAAGTGTTTAAAAATTATTGCTTATGAAACTTACATCTTGTATTTTAGATACGACATTATTGTCATTGTTTATTCTTCAGTACATGCCAGTAGTAACTAACAAGTCATAGTATTATAGAATCATAGAATGGTAAGAGTTGGAAGGGACCTTAAAGATCATCTGGTTCCAATCCCCCTGCCATGAGCAGGGACATCTTCCACTAGACCAGGTTGCTCAGAGCTCCATCCAACCTGGCCTTGAACACTGCCACGGAGGGGGCATCCACATTTATTGGGTGAGGGGAGTTGGTTTGTGTTGGATCCTTCAATTATTCAGACTCAAGGATTTTTAATCCTGCTCGCGTGATACCTTACAGGGAAGCAACATAAACCTTTTGAAAAAATAAAAATAAAAATTGGATATTTGAAATTATATATTACCTATATCTGGTAAGGTGATTATATATCTCTTGAGGTGTTAATGATGTATGTGATTGTATAGCTGTTAAGGTGTTGATGATACAAAACAAATATTAAACTTTATACTTTCTTTTGCCAGCAGATGGTTACAGCAGTTCAGACTCCTATGCTTCAGATCCAGAGCAAATTGGAAGCACTGTAACGCGGCAACGGTCAGTAGAGTAGCAACTGAAAAAAATAAATAAAAAGTGTTTAGAGAAGCCTGTTCTGAGCTTCTGGTTGTTTGACAACTAGCTTGTAAAATGATAGCTGAATAGATTCTTAACTTCAACACTGGGGAATCTGGAGCCAGTCTGTTTTCTAATGGATTAACAATGTATGCTGTTCCTGTTATAAATTGAAAATTCAAAAAAAAAATGTAATCTAAACAGTTGTTTGGGACTAGCCAATCAAATGAAACTCCACATTCAGTCAGAAATCTTGATAAAGACTATCTCCTTAAACACAGGGGAATGTAAGCACAGGAGATCATGATGTTACGTGAAACCAGTTTTATTTTTAAAAATGTCCATTAGGCGTTAATGGAGAAGGACCTTGTGACTCTGCAGCATAAAAGAAGAATAAAACATAAATTAAAAGTATCATGGCAGTAACTTAATCTCTTTTAATAATGGGCTTCTATAAAATGAAGGGGAGTCATAGGCCCAACATAAACCAAGGGGTTGGAGGAATTTAGGCAAGCACATAAGCAACAACTGCATTGTTTGACGTAAGAGAATGTGCTGTACTAGTTGGTGCTAATTGTTCCCATTAAATCTGCCTGAAGAGGATTAAAAAAAGGTACGCCATTAACGATCTTACAGTCAGTTTCAGAGGTAAGTTTCAAAACAAAATTAGAGTGACTTCAGTAGCAAAGAAGGATTTGCAGTTGCCTCAGTACAGCAGCTTGAAAACTTCTTTCCTCCTTTGTTACTTAATGGCAAATTTGATTTTCTGTTCTGCTTCTGTGTATGTTTTTGCACTATCACCATGATGGATTCAACACGTTCTTTTCATCTCTGATTTTGGGGTGGATTCTCTTGCTGAACTTGTGTGGAAGAGTGAAGCTTTCTGATGAGTTGCCACTTTATGGCACAGGTAGCTTCTGTCTGGGTCTGGCAGTTCTGTCAGTGTCCACCCAGGAAGTTTTTCTCCCACTTCCTCTTCCACTGATAACTCTTCTACCAATTGCAACTTTACCTATAGAGATGGCATTGTCCTTAACCCTACCATTAGTTCAGAGTATTTTCTATATTTTCAGAAAGCAAAAACTGACAAGGCTGTGTCAGATAACGATAGTTCAGGAGTGTCCTTAATCCACTTTCTCCCTTTTTCAGTCCTACTTGTGCCTTTTATACTAGATTAGCTAGAGGGGTGACCCTAGGAGTCGGTGTAAATAGATTTGTATTTCATCAACTGGAGGGTTACGCAGTGTTATAGAAGAATTGCCCTGGAGCGTATATTGAGAAAGCAGACTTTTCTGTTGCGACACCTCAATTTTCTGTCTGAACTTACACATTCAGGAACTCTGGGTTTGTGTGCAACTTGGGTCCCTCTTACCTCTCCTAGTTTTATATCTTCTGATAGTTACCGAAGAATATTACAGAAGTCAGTTGCAGAAGAGATTTTATCACTGAGTTGAATAAAAGAGTAGCTGTACTCATGTCAGTGATCCAGTAAATCTGTCTTGCTCAGATTGGACTAGGTAGGAAGTTTCTGCGAGCTGTTTTTGAATGGAAGCTGTACAAAAATTCTGTATACAATAAATCCCACTTAAATAGCACTTCGTGCAGTACTTCATCCTTCTATCCTTTCTGAATGTGTGCTCGATGAAGTTACAACAGGTATCCACTAGATGGTGATCCTACCTAAGAGTGAGTTAAAATTTCTGAAGATGCTGCCAAATATATAGCTTTGGAAAATTTCAGGCAGAGTGTTAAATAACGATCTTGTACACTGAGATGCTCCTCGATATTCATGGAGGCAGGTCCAACAGAAACAGTATTCTTCTTCGATGACATTGAGCTTAACCCGTTTAAAACGTAATCAAGATGCTGACTACATCTTACATACTTTGCAAATTATAGTGACTACCATCTGGATGGAAATACCGTATTTAGGATTCTCTGTTCCTGAGCTATCATTGTTTGGGATGTGTGTCAAGCTATTGATAAATTACTTGTGGTAATATAATAATTTTGATAATGGGGATTTAAGTAAATAGAAATGTAAAAACAATTGTGAAATCAAATAATACCAGAAGTTTAAAACTGATTTTGCAATCAAATTCAATGGCAGTCGGGCTTTTTTCCATCTGTCAAACTTTTTTTTTAATTGCATACTGTGAAGACCTTTTGAATTTTAGTTCTCTTGTAGCTGCCTAAAACCATTACAGAGGCTTATATGTTTTGCAGATCACATTCAGGAACATCTCCAGATAACACTGCACCGCCGCCACCCCCTCCAAGGCCTCATCCTTCTCATTCTCGGTCTTCATCTTTAGATATGAACAGATCCTTTTCAGTTACCCCAGGTAGATATACTATGTTCCTAGCATATATTGTTTTTCAGCACATATATTCTTGAAGTAGACAATTTTTTTTTCCTCTGAAAGAAGATTTAGAGTGTGTTTTTAGAACACTGCTTCTGAATGAAAAAGCTGAAAATGTCATCACTATTCCTGTTTGTATTAAAATTTATACTCCGCTTTGCTTAAACACGTAATTTAGAAATATACTCTGAATGCTGGCATAGTAGTCCTTTGGGTGAATGTGGGAAGCAAACTCAGGAAACAACATTTTGGTAGTGCACCCATGTGCGATGAATTGTATCTGCCAGCAAATTTTCAAGAGGAGTTATGTTGGTATCCGATGTGTTAGAAATGGGTGTTAAGTATTTCACTTCAGAGGAAATGATTAAAGGTCACTTCTGATGCTCTTATTAAGGATTTTTATTGTCCTTTTGACTTGTCAGTACTTTTAAATTCAGGATCACAAAGTATGAGAAAATGTTAAGAGCATATAATGAGGGTAAAATTAAAAAAAGACTAAGATCAGAAAAGGATAACCATGTCTGTACTTTGAGCTGGCACAAGAGACAAGATACATGTTTTAATTCCTTGTTTTGTCTGCTTGCAAGTTTGAAATGAGATGACCTTAGAATTATGGTCCTCAATATGACAGGTTAATATATAGGCAGAAATTTCTTCGTGTTGACAAGGCAAAAAATTAGATAGCACTGTAATGCGAATAGTAACAATCTTGACCAAACGTGATGCCTCTTTTACAGGTCAGCAACAGGCTGGAGTTGTTGCCTATCCCCCTGCAGTGCCTCCAAGACCACAGCCTTCACAGGTGATGTTGTCACTTTTGAAAAATTATACTCTTAACTTAGTGCATTGTTTTTATGGAGCTCTAACTTATCTCTAAATGAGTAATATTGCTTGGTATTTTTTGAAACTGCTATGATGTGAATGATGGCAAAACCTAGACTATAGCCAAATGTTAGCCTTTCCTGAATAGATAATTGCTTCTGGTGGAACCATGGGAAAGGGGTTAAAGCAGAGACTGAGGAGGAATGAGTGGCTCTGGAGCTCTGAGTTGTAGGAAAGAGGGGAAAGTTACACTTTCACATTTCTTTAGCTGTCCCTGTATAGCTAATATGTGATAACACAGACTGAGAGAGCGATCTTTCAAAGTTTTGCAAAATAAGCGCTTGTCTTCCGGGAATAGTTTTATGTAACATGCCTCCTCCCAAAAGGAGTGATCCCACTTTTTCCTTGGTCATAGACTTGGTGATCTTTGCAGTCCTGGTCTGAGTCAGTTCGGTTAGCTTATTTGATGGAAAACAAATCCTGTAAAAGTTGGTTTTTCTGTCTCAACCAGCTGAATCCTTCAGCTGCTGTGCAGATCTGACATGGGACAGATAAAATTGCTTTTCAGTTATTTTTCAGCAGCAGATACTTGTTAGAATCTGAGTTGTCAGCAATTGAAGTCAGTCAGTGGATCCAGAAAATCATCTGCAAGTAAAGAGGGTACAATGACAGACATATTCTATACAGTGTGATCACATAAGAATGTTTCCCTATGGAACTAAAAATCTGTATCGAGCCTGACAGAGCGAAGCTGGACTGTATTACAACAGAAACATCTACTGTCCAGTGAGTCTAGGTAGTCCTACGGTGTGTCCACCTTTGGCCTTATTCTTTGGATAATAGCACTTCCGACTGAATTTCCATTTGTCTTAAATATTTCTCTACTTTTATTAACACAGGGGAGTAGTCTTTGTGTCTTGGATGAGATGCACTTTGTCCTACTGACACAACATAAATATTTGTCCACTAAAAAGGCAAATAATCTTTGTTCTGTCACAAACTGTTGTTTGGTGAGATTCTTTGCATCAGATAACTATGTTAAGAACAATGTCACTAAATATTTTTGTTATTTTATTGCAGGGTGCAGGTCCTCATGTGCATCGCCCAGTAGATGCTGAAGGCCTAATAGTTCATACCAGTACCTCACCTCAACAAATACCAGAACAGCCAAATTTTGCAGACTTCAGCCAGTTTGAAGCATTTGCTGTTTCAGGTGTAAACAAAGAGGAAGATGATGAAATTGAAACACACTCAGAAGTCTTGCCGGTGAGCAGAAGTGCAGAGGTTGTCAATTGCTTAATACCACTAACTGCTGCTGTGGGTTTTTATGATGTCCCAATGCATTGCTAGAAAGCAGTTACGTTACACACTGCTACATTTATTTAGCAATTGCCAAATACCTAGGCAGAAGAAATAATCTTCTCAGTTCTTGATTGTAATTCAAAAGATTTTTGTACGTACTAGCGTATATGTGCACAAACATAATTCAAGTAGTATGTCTTTTTAAGTGAGATGACTGTCAAGTATTTTAAACATCTGTTAAAACCCCATTAATTTGTTTTTGTTCAAAGCCATTGGGCAGACAGCTAAAGTGAACAGAGCTCCGGCACCCTTCTGTAATAGATCATTAGAGATGTTCTTGTTTCCTACTTACAGACACAGGACTTAAAGTTTGTTTGGAAGCCTCAGGGTTTATTCCTGTCAATGCCATCATAGCTTACTGCTATTACATGAATTACTTTTTGTATTTCTTTCCTAATTTGTAGCCTTCATCCAGATTGTACGCTCTCTGGAGCACTTTGCATCCTCAGTTGCAGAAGTACCTGTGGTGCTTTAAAGTTCTCCCAACTATCAGCAGCAAGTTCTTGCTTCCCTTTGATCAGGAAGGTCAATGATGTAGAACCATTTGAGCACTCTCCATGCACCTCATTGCAAAATCAGCTATGTTAGCTTAAGGTGCCACTGAAAACTGCTTAAATTAAGCTTACTGATTGTTTTGCATTGAGGTGGACAAGGAACAGTTGCATTGTGATCCATTGGAGGGATTAACCTTTGGCAGTAACAAATAGATAATAGTGGTAATGTAATAGCAGAAACAGCTGTAGCAGTTTATCATCACAGCCTCTTTTGTACTATACAGAGCCTCATAACATGGGGGATTTGATTTTATTCACAGGTCTTCCAACATCCAGAGTACAATGCCTTGAGAACATAGTACTTTCAAGTAACTATTTCATCTTTTTTTCATAGTGAGTCCTGTATCGAATCTTAATTTCTGTATCAAAAGACAGGTCTGACTATTGATTCTGGAAGTACAGCTTTTTACTTATGTGCCTCTTCTGTAAGATGCTCCCAGGCCAAAACAGTGTTTGTGACCAAGATAGTTTTAGATAGTTTTGCTCCAAAGCAGGTATTGTTGTTGTATTCCAGCTTGTGCTTCTAAAGAAGGCTTGAACTGGAATTTTAAGTGTTAACTGTATTCATGTATCAGAAACACAGCATACTTGTATTTATTCTGACTGTTGCTGAATGGAATATTTGTTAAGAAGTAGTTTTCTAAATACCGTTTATATCCCTTTAGGTTGACAAGCCCTCTGATTCTGCAAGTTCTCTTAGAGTTGCCAAAGCAGATGGAAGAGCTGAAGACAAAGCACCTGCGAATGTCCCCACAAGTGCGGTATGCAAAGTACACTTGGAAGGAGAGTGCAGTTGTCTGATCTGTATGAAATTATACGTCAGTTTTGATTTGCAACAGCAACTTTATACACTTCCACTTGAAACCAGTTTTCTTAGGTCCAGTATGAGCTTGAAATAGGCACATGTATGGTGAATTTTTGCATCAGATGATGTTCCTGATTAGCTTTATTCTCGAGATAGCAGAATATTAAGATACTTGTAAGTGTTTGAATTTTTGAAACAGAGCAACTTTTAGAGCAGAACTTGGTTAACAGTAGCTTTTTTTTGTTATAGACTCATAATTACTGGGGGGGAACCATGCTCCGAGATGTGTGTTTGCGATTGTCAGTTGCACCATGGTGTTACTGCTCACACTCTATCGGTGTGTAGCAACTTACTGCCCTTTCACCAGGGTACAGGATTTTAGTACTTAAGGTTTTTTTCCAGACCATATGAGAATGCACCTAGATGTCCATCAGAAAATACCTGTTACCAGGTTATAATCCAAGTAAAATGCCGTTTGTGAGAATTAATAGACTGTGTTTCCCTCTTCAGGGTAAAGGCACTACCCCACTTGCTCCACCACCAAAGCCTATTCGCAGAAGATTAAAATCAGAAGATGAGCTAAGACCTGAAGCTGAGGAACATACACAGAAAACAGGTGTCATAGCTGCTGTTCTTGCTTCACAGCCATCTATTCCTAGGTAACCCAAAGTGTATAAATACATCTGTTACTGGAAAGTTTACATTTAAGCAGCATATGTGCTTTCTGTTCCAGGAGTTGCAAGCAATTTCATTGTGTTTGAATTAGATTAATTTAACTGTTCAAAGGTTTTTGTTTTTTAAACAAGATGATCTTGAAGCCTCTATTACTGGGAGACCTTTTAGAGAACTTGAATTTTGGAGTGTGAGCTCTTTTTAACTTCTGCAACTGTGTTGGAAATAAGTGGTGGAAGTATTAAGATGTAGTGTTTAATTTCAAATAATGATTGCTGTGAACAGTCCAAAATGTGCAGTCTTTGTGTCCTAGCATGAAAGTAGATTGTTACGTTAGTCACTTTGAGATAAATGAATGTGGTATGGTGTGTTGGGACTTCAGAAAATTGTTTATGACACGTTTGTCAAATGTGCTGCTTGCTGTTTCATTGAAACCAAGTATGTGTGGCTTCCATGCAAACAAAGTTAATCGAGCCAGGCAGAAGAAGGAAAATTAACAGAGTAACAAGTTAAATAAATTTGAAAATAGTGTTCTGCTCATTTCAAAAAGAGGGACTGTAAATGAGACATTTAGCTAAGCAACGAAATTACTTATTACAATACCTCTAATATATTCTCAGATCAGTGGGGAAAGACAAGAAGGCAATTCAGGCATCAATCAGACGTAACAAGGAAACCAACACTGTTTTGGCCAGACTGAATAGTGAACTGCAGCAGCAACTAAAGGTAACTCCATAATCTTTGTCTAAGAGAAGGGCCTGAGAGGGCAAGATGTTAGTGATGCACAGTAACAGGCGTCTCTGCAAACCAATGATATACATGGTAGAGGATATTGTATAAAATAATCAGTTTTTTTTGTAGATCATAGAATATATCTATTTGTGACAATCTTTGAAATTACAAAGGACACTTTTACTACTACAAAACACATTTTTTCAATGTCTTGATTTGCTTTCAGCTACACTAAAAATAAAAAAGCAGAAATCTTAATTTTGTATTAATAATTTGAGGTAGCTGTTGCAGTCATCAGGTGGTTTAAAAGCAGTATTGAGAAGAGCAGATGAAGTGGCTTGCTTTCTCCTGAAGGAAAAAGAAAACCTTAAAGTCTTAATAAAATTATACATATTTTTAAACAGATATAATAATCTGGAATACAAAACTTCCACTTTAATAAGAACAAAAATAGTCATGTGTTTATCTAGGTCAGATATCTGACATATCTGACAATCTATCATTTTGGATTTATCTGAAGGCACCATCTCAGTATCTTTCTCTTGCCATCTTTCTTACCTTAAGATATCTAATTTTAATTACCAAGTTAATTTTTTTAAAAAATCTTAATTGTACACATGAATTAATCTGATACTGTCTAGACTGGAAGATCGGCTATTGTAAAAACTATCAAGCCTGAATTTCGCTTCTTACTGTTTGAGAGTCAAGGTGCATAAAATTCACATAAGAGGAAAAACTGGGGAAATAAAAATTGTGAGTTTCCAATCCTTTAACTGAGACGAGAGCTTACCCCCTTAACCTTTTAGACTTCATTTGAAAATATCATAGTTGAGTTTCCAGCTGGTTACAGCTTAGTGGTTTTAGGTGATTTGAAAGAAATGACAGCATACTAAATGGCTTCACCTTTGAGCAAAGTATTGATTTTTATTTATGAGTAATTACTAGCTAGCCAGTCTTCTATTCAGATTATGAGAAGAGTTCTTCAGATTCTAGAAAAGACTTGAACGTTAGTTCTCAGAACTGAAGCTGACATCTACCAGTTTTGGTCGCATGAGGAATTTTTTAATATTCATTCTCTGTGGACAGTCAGTAGAAAATCTTTCTTTTGTAGGATGTTCTTGAAGAGAGAATCTCCCTGGAAGTCCAACTGGAACAACTTCGACCCTTCTCTCACCTCTAAGCCTACTGCCGTTAACTGTGAATTTACTAATTTTGAAAGGGGTATTGGTTTCAAAGCCTATTTAAAGATCCATGCATCTATCTCGGTGCACTCTATTCTACATTAAATGTTGTGGTTCTGTTTTGTCAATTTGTCCACTTTTGTATTTAAGTGTTTTAATTTCAGTACAGAGAAAAAAAAAAAAGATCTTCTTCCTTGAATGTGACACTGCCTCTCACATCATTTTCTGTGGTCATCCGTCATCATCTTTGGACTTCAGTTTGCAGAGTTTGTCACCAAAATTTCCAACTGGAATTTTTTAGTGGTTTCTTTTTTCCCATTGAAAAATGTTTGAAGAGGAGGATTGCTAATCAGTTGAATTTAAGCACATAAACTCTTGTTTTGCTGTGGCATTTATTGTATTGTGCCAGAAAGGAGGAAAAACCAGTAATCTGTCATCAGCCAGTGTTACTTCCCGAGCTGCCTTTCGCAATTGAAAAGTTGATCACGATTCTAGAAAGCCTGCCTCTTTGCAATAAACCAACTTATTCAAGTTGAAGGAGTTCTTGCAGGCTGTTTGCCATATCAACTGGATTTGATTTTGTTTGTTGCATACGTTGTAGAGTATGTAACCACAGATTGCCAGGTGTTCACATTTTATCCACTCATGATCCTGATTCAGCCGCATGCATATAAAGATCTATGGTACAGTTGGTAGTCTATCACAGACCTTTTCCAGTCCTCCCTTTTGTGAAGAGTTGGGTGTAAATCCCCAGCACATTAATTACACATTACCTAAGCACCACCTGTAATTGCATGTTTCACACATTAGCTTTTAATAACAGATCACATGCACCAGTCTTCACTATAACAAATTGTATTGTCAAGTAATGTGTCAATACCTCTGTGAACTTCTAATTCCCAGCAAAAAAAAAGGAAAAGAAAAAAACTGAACAGTTCGCTTCTTAGAAATTCTGGGGTACCTTCTGTCATCTTGTTTCCAGGCCTTATTTCTCTGGCATATAGACAGGCTTCACTATTAACAAGAGTTTCCTGAGTGTATCCTGCTATTCAGGTTGATGTACTGTATTAGGATTTGTTGTATATTGTATGATACACACCTTTTGATCTCATATGTAAATTTGCATTAATTGCTGACTAACAGCAGATATTCTATTTAATGGCTTCTTCTGGCTGTGGGATCATAGATGTTTAACTGCATGGATGTATCTCTGCAGAATCAGAACTAGCAATTGTGTGATTTTTACACCAATAAAACAGCACAATATTTTAATTTTGTTGATTCATCTTTACCTGGGAATTGAAACTAATTCAAATGGGGGGAGCGTTTTATTAGAGGTCTGTAGGGAATTTTTTGTGATCTTGTGGCATGTATGAGAAACAGTTGATCATAATCCCTTGAGAATTTTCTTCCTTTATTTTTTTTAGCTGTTGTTCAGAAGTGATCAAATTCTCTTGGTAATCTGTGGCTATACTCCTTTTGTATCCTCCTATAAGCAAATTTAATATAGTTGTAACTTCTAAAAAGTAAATGCTAGTACTCACTTGAGTGAAAGAAATGTTTAGTTCTTTAGTCTTCATTTCTGATTTGATTTGAGAGTACCTTTCCAAATTAAAACTAAACAGATCACCTGTTGGCAGTCGTTAGCCTCACTGTCTCACTGCTGTGCTTAAATGAAATGCTCTTAACATCTGCTTCCCTTACAAAAAGATAGCTCAAGTTGGGTTTTTCTGCTGGATATGCTGTTTGTTACAGTGAAGAAGTAGTATTTCTCTTTTGGGTTATCATATACAGGCTGGATAAGTATGGTTAATTTTGATTACTGTAATTATTCCAACATTTTTTTCAAATATCATGGAAGTGTTGGAGATAGCTTATGTATACAATCCAAAGCAGGATTCCCTGGTATGAAAGACACGAGTGTCATAGCTGCATGAAAGAGATGGTACTTTCTATTTGCCTGTAAAGGGATTGAGAAATGGTCGCTAAATGGGCACAAAGGTTACATATAAATGACATTTCAACTATGTCTTGCCAGCTAGTAGATAAAGTGCAAGACTTTGATGTAAAGAAAAAAAAAGATATAAAAGCAAAAAAAACGAAACCAAAACAAAAAAGAACTCAAAACTAAGAAAATTTGAAGCTGATGGACTAATCACTTCTATTACAACTGCCAAGTAGCAAGAACAGTGTTCAAAAAAGTGGGAAAAGTGAGTCACTTAAAGTTGGTTTCAAATCAACATTCTTTGGCTATAGTATCTTGTCCATAGCTTTTTTTTAATTAAAAATACATTTTTAAAATAGAAATATTTACTTATTTAAGTATTAAGCCTATGTTTATAGCAGCAGGATTCTTAAATTGGAATTTAACATTTTAATCTTAAATGTAAAAAGCCTTTTACATTCAAATGTGACGTGTACATATGAATATCTGTAACATTCATATCTTTCTAGTGGAATGACAAGTTAGTGTCTCAAGTGAAGAACTTAAGCAAGCTGAACGTTTTTGTCTTGCCAACAAGTCTATTTTTAAGAATTTTTGTGGCTTACTTTTAATGCATCATTCAGTACATTTTAAACCAGTTTTTCATGATCAGAAGAGCATCTAACTGAAAAATTACTTATGTCTTAAGAACATCACTGCCAATGATGTTCAGAAGTTACCTCACTTAGTAATGTAACCCAACTTTAATCCCTTATGAAATTACTTCCCTGTCTTCACTGTTTGTTTGATCGTGATCCAGCTACTTGATGCATTCTTTTTTATGAACTTAGATTGTGAGCTCTTTGGGGCAAGGTATTATGTACTAAACGAGAGATGTGCTCTCTATATTGCAAGTATAAATGTAGACCACTAAATAGTATGGAGTGTGATTCATGTACCCGGCTAGGATGGATGGACAGCTGCATGCATTTCTGAAATCCCTGCAAAATGGGGTTCTTTGGGCTTGGTGATCGAGGGGGTGTCTGTTTCCTCGTTTGGTTTGTGTTTCCTTTGTTTCTCCTACTAATGTGCCTCTTTCTTCACTCCACCTGCTTTGGAGTTGCTTTTTTCTCCATTTATCTTTGCCTGTCTTTGGACTGCAGAGATTTCCAAAATGCAAGGGCAAAAAGCTGAAAAGCTGCTTTTTTTGAGCAGTATTTGAAGTCTGCCTAGTGTAAACTAGTATTTTCAATTCTTTTGTACTTCACCTGCCCCTCATCTTACTTGCAATTGTATAGTACGTGAACTGGAGGATCTCTTATTACTGAAAATGTCTTATGTGGGATAAGCAAAGTTGAGGTTATAAAAACTTAAAACTAAAGAAAATAAATTTGCAGCGTTGTTTTTTGTGTGAGATGTCTCTGTCCCTTATGGATGGGGTGTGCTGTGTTTCTGCTCTGCATTTACGGTGAAGTTGAGTTACTCCCCTGGGTTCAGCTATGCACAGAGTTTGTCTCCAAATGCAGCTTCACTGATGACCTAGTCTGAATCACTTTTTCCTTAAAAAAAAAAAAAATCATCACTGTCTTTTGACTCTTTCTAGTCTTAATTTCTAGTATAATATAGTTTTGTGAAATGGTAATACATTACAAAAATACTTTACTCCAAAATGGGTAATATAAAAATGCAGTTCTTGCTCTGTGTGGAAGATTAAAATGTAACTTGTGTATTTGAAACATATTTGCATGCTTAAGTACTTTGGAAAGTTGCTTAAATACTTTACAAAGTAGTCCATGTGCAGTTGCATATTCAGCTATACTCCCCAAAGTTCCATTTTTGAGACATACAACTTCATAAGTAGAATTCCAGCATGTTTTGTCATGCATATTGATGTACTAATCATTTATAATACAGCTCTCTAGAAGAAAACACATGAAAACCAAGAATTTATTCTCCAATAACACAAAGATTTTTACTGTTATGTTCTCTTAAAAACAAGTAAGTACTGGTTGTATAGGAACAATGTTAAAAATATCTATATACTAATCAGCAAATGAGACTAGTACCCAAGCAAAATATAACCCCTTCCTCCCCCAGGAGTCTTTGAATTAATTGCTTTTCAAAATTCATTTCTGTGTTTCTGGGGAGGGTTTAATACTGAGTAATTTCCTTTCAGTAGTGTTTCTTTAAATTGACAAAATGGGTTTTAAAGGTGCAATTCCTGCTTTAAGATTGTTAGTACTGTTTATCACACTTTGACAGCATACTGTAGCACAGAAAGTTACATGAATTCTCCTCCAACTCTGGTAGAATATGTTCTTGACACTTTCACTCTTGCCGATACTATGAATGCATCTAATCTGGAAGCAGTTGAAATGACTTTGTTTTGACTGGTCTTGGTTGTGAGTGACCTAGGAAATGAACAGAACATCATGAATAGTGACAGCAATGTAAACTGACATTCAGCAGTGTATTGGTGAAAGAACAAATTCTAGCAATGCTGCTGCTGAACCTTACATGACTGGGGTTTTTTTCTCCCAGTCTAATGAGGAAGAGCTCAGAGATGGGGATACGTCCTACTCTACAAGGCACATAAACTCTTTGATATACCCTGTGTAGCAGCAATAGTGACTTTTGCTTTCTGTCCTCTAACTTGAGAGGTCTAACTGTATTTCTCTCTTTAAATGCAGTCGTATTTGAGCCAAACTGACAGAAGAGGGTATGGTCCATGGGGTGGAATAAGTTAAATGTAAGAAATAGCACTTTGAATCATTGCAGCCTGTTGTCTTGGGTTTCCATTTAAAAGGCAAATAGGAAAGACTAGCGTTTGAAAGAACAGTTGCTACTGAGAAAGGAGGCACTTAAATCAGTGATCTGCCCTGACATGGAGTTGGGGGAGCAGGGAGTGGAATAAGCATCACAACAGTTGCTGTAAACTGTAAACGTTTGTGGATTTGAGGTTTCTGAAGGTCTACCATGCATGATTGGCTGCGTCAGACTTAGCAAAAAGATATGTATGGTAGGTAAATTCAGTAATATATGATTTCTCAACAGAAGTCGAAGGAAATGCTTTGGGAACCCCTATGGTATCTTAGGAGTGTGTTTCATTAAACTGCCATGGAATTCAGCACTCTACTACGTGCTGTTGTGCCTTATTTTGCAGATCTCCTTATTTGCAGCTTGAGTTCGGTCTAAGTATGAAAATACAGTATGTATTTCAAGAAAAATATTTTTAAAGGAATTTATATGAACTGGTCATTCAGTGTATTCTGTCAGAAAATGCAGAAGTGATGTGCCTCCAACTTAAACTTGCTTTTTCTGTTATGATCCCTGCCTTTGGAAGAAGAGTGCTGCA